TCTGTGCAGTATTCATACTCGAAGCCGGAGGGTGCTCTCGCGCAGAAAGTCGTACGAGGAAATTCCTAATATTCCTAATATATAACCACAAACTGTATTGATTTTGTCTCCAGGGGTTCTCAACTCTGGCCCGCAAGGTCCACTTTCCTGCAGAGTTTAGCTCTAACCCTAATCAGACACACCTGAACAAGCTCATCAAGGTCTTCAAGATTACTAGAAAGTTACAGGTTGCTCTGTAGGGACATACAGCGCCAGAGTTGAGAACCTCTGGTCTATACCTTTATCACAAATCACACAAGTAAAATACAATTAAACTCTTTATTTTTCCAACATTAATAAAAGTGAATCAGTCACATTCACATGACCTACTAAAGTCTGGACACAAGTTTTTAAAGGTGCAGTAAAGTCTCATAAAAAAGTGGCATTAATCAACAAAACATGTATACCTCCACTGGTGATATTTGGTCTATTGAAAATAGAAAGAAATAAAGTATGACTGAATGCTACTTCAAGTGTCTGCTGTTCTGTAATACAATTCAATCTCCATTACCAACATGAACTGCATTTGCTGCACCATACAGTTTTGACCCCAGAAGGTATCAAATATAGAAAAAAAATACTTAGACTAAGATGAGGTTTTAACCTGACAGAGCTAGGTAGTATTGATATAACCAAAACTGCATCTAACATGAAAACCATCAGTCTGTCTTCCTCCCCACACCTCAAGTGTCCACTGTATTGGCTCGTCGTCAGAGTTAGGTCACCCTGTAAATAAACAGACACAATTTGTGATATTAAAACAATGATCTAAAACATTTAACCACAATTTTATATTATGCAGTGAAGAATGGGTAAAAATAACAATAATGTTATATCATGCAAGTCTATGCATAGATTTATACTTGCCTGAATATGAGAATGAGACCAATCACTCCTTCTGTATGCTCATCAGCTTACACTCCGGCTTATTCTGCAGTGAATCCAACGCCTTCCTGTTGATAGAAACATGTGTTCATAAGACTTTGCTTTTTAACCAACAAATTACAGATTGTTTGAACAAAAGAAAAGTTTTAACTGACAAGACTGGACTGGAATTAACTATAAGTTGAATACCATCATAAAGAAGCGTAAAAACACTTTTACTAACACTTTCTATTCACACTTTTCAAAATTAGTCCTATAAAACACAATCGCTGGTGGCAACAGGTGCTTTAGGGTTAGGTAGTATGTTAGCTTAGCATAGCGACAAAACACGACAATTAATGCGATTACTACAAAGTTATTGCTCTAAACTCTCTCTATTACTTCAGTTGAATGTTTGAAAGAGCAGAAACTAGCGTTACGCTAAACTATGCAATTGTTTTATTTAGTAACGATGTTAGCTAGCTAGCAGTTACAGTAATTTCCAATTGTGCTCAAGTTTTTACGTGAAAAACAGCTTTGTGAATCTCTGAACTATTGAAAACATTTTCGCTGAAATATCACTCACTGTGACCGCACGCAAGTTAACTTTAATGAGGTTATGTGATTAATATGAACGTTAGTGTACAGTATAATGAGTCAAGCAAACAAGAATCAAACTATCGAAATGCACACGGACCAAAGTATTACAAATCAGAAATCTAAAACAGAAAGGCAAACTTACCTTAAACACGAGAAAATCCAGCCATGCATCTCCTCCGTGACAAGCCCAACCGTCTCTCTGATTCAAAGTGTGGATCCAAACCAGTGTTGCCAGATTGGATGGACAATTTCCAGCCCAAAAGCTCACAAAAACCCGCCCAAAAACCGCCCAATACTTTAACTGTCAAAATAATGTGATAGAATATGTAAATCAAGGTTGATAAGAGCCATTTTAACTCCTTAAAACAAAATATTAACGACAAAATAATATAAATATAACGTTAGATAAATTTTGCATTCAGGTAAACGGATCAAATCAGGGCAAATAGCCTACAATAAAGAGAATTAGGCTACCGAATATGAATAAAATATGCAAGCAAACACTGTCAAAACGGCAATCAAGAAATTAACCGATACCCTCGAAACAAGACAATGTCCGCAGTCAGAATAATTAAATTTAAATGCAAAAAGTGCCCGACAGATAGCCTAAGTGATAAGAAAAAGCAACGTATTTAGCAGGTAGCCTATTTCACACTCGTTCATGTACACACCATGACAGTCAACTCAAAACTGTGTCATTCATTGATACACTGAATTATAATCCGACAATTAAAAAAAAATAACATCAATAATTGCGTTTACCTTCGTGTCGCTCTATAATTTTACACAGAACTAGAGGAAGCCTCTTGTTAAGTTCATATCGTAGAACATAATACAGAACTTTGCACAGTCAAAACTAATCAAGTCTAGCAGTTTTCAAGGATTTATCAATCTGGTCCGTTTAAAAGATAAAAGAGGATCATATAAACCGACATATTTAGTTTTGGTTTTGATTAATTCAAATGTGCTCTGATTTCGGAGTTGCAGTGGCAGAGTCTTCGTGTCATCTCACTCCACAATAATTCACGTTTTGAGAGTTGAGTCACTCTCCCACTCTTTAACTTATATTTAGGCATTGTGATTACTTGAATATACAGTCATACTACATTCAAAATCAGGTACGTTATAACTTATCACGCTAAAAACTTGTCACTCATGAATCATAACGTCTGTCTGCTGAGCCCTCGTGATAAGTGCGGCTGTCGACGTTTACATCAGCACCAGCGCCTCTGCAGTGTGTGTGTGTGTGTGTGTGTGTGTGTAGTAACGTTGTGATGACTGATTGGATGCAGTACATGCATACTTGGGCTTGTTTGTTAAACAATTAGCCTATGCAATTTATATGTTTGAAAACCGCCAAACTGACCCCAAACCAGCCCAAATTTTGTCCACCCGCACAATCAAATTCGAAACCGCCCAATTGGGCGGGAACCCGCAATCTGGCAACACTGGTCCAAACACGCATGCGCGGATTCAAGCGCGCTGAACTTTTAGATTAAAATGTACTCAATATTTCTAGATTTATGTGCAATGACTATAAAACATATAAATATTACAAGTAAATATTAATAAGAGTTACTCTTCTCACGCAGTTCATTAATTACATGAATTAAATGTGTACATTTTACTTAGAAAATTGTTGTTCTCCTTGATTTTTAATATTACAAGTAGAATTTATGATGATTAATTTAATATATTTTACAACACCACAAAAACATTTTTTTTTCAGTGGCACACACTCACTGTTATTTGACTGGTTAGTTTGTAAAAGCTGTAGACTGTCTAATATTCTATTGTCCATGTCTGACTATGGCCTATTCATCTCATGCTCTATTGAGATTAAGCAATATAATATAAAAGGATCCACGGGAAACTAAAGAACAGATTTACACTTGACTACCCTTGGTATGAAAAAAGAAACGGGTATGGCATTTCTGGGTTTCCGCTCTCTTTCTCTTTTATTTTTTGGTAGTAGGGCTTGTTAATAAATCCGAAGTTCCTTTTGAAGTATTTAATAGCCACAAACAGGAATCGTATTGTTAGTATCCACAAACTTAGTTAGCTCATATTCTTATGACTGATGAGATTATGAAAACATAAATGCACTGATCATGCTCTGATTCTACCCACCTGGTCCCACAGCTGTTATAGCAGTTCAGCTCCTGAATAACAAAAAGGAAATATGCACCTGTACATCTCATTCAGTTCAGAATGGGATCTACAGGAAGAGATCAGATGATTTGTCCTTCTCTTCCATTTTCATATAAACGATTTAGCACTGAAATGTGGCGTAGATGTATGAATGCTTCCTGTCTGGCCTGTACCAGCGATATCTTTAACGCTGAAAAATAAGAACACATAAAAGTCTTTAGAAGAGAACAGGGGGCAATTTATATATTAGAGGTTGGCTCAGAGGATTCGACCCAGAGGTGTACTTATTTCAAAAGAAAATAAAAACATCTGTAGAACGAATGGACCTGACATGCGCATTCACCGGGTCTCTACATCTTGGGTTTCCAGTTCACAGGGGATTTTGTTGCTTTTCAAATCGCCACCTTTTTGCACAGGCCACAGCAGTTTTCACTGATACATCATTACACGTCCTGAATATTGAAGAAAATTATGTCCTTTAAGAACTCTTGAAATCAAAATTGGAGTTTTGTGGTATTTAGTTGATAGTGTGTTAACTGTAAGGCTATATACATGCTAGTGTACTCTTAAAAAGCTGCTGTTTAAACCCTCTTAAGTTGGTTTTAGCTGGTTCAAGATGGTCTCCCAGCCTGGTCAAGCTGGTTTAAAGATGGGTGGCCAGCTGATTTCCCAACTTCACCAAGCCAGCCAAAA